TGCAGAGAATTTGACAGAATCCTAAAAAATACGCAACGAAACCGAAAAAAATATGAGATAATACAAGTAATTATAAGACAACTTGCCAAATTTAGTTAGGATCCGAAATAAATGGAAAGAATACGAGAGAATCCAACAGAATCCGAATGAATCTGAAAAAATTCGAAATTATCCGAAAATAATTCGAAAGAATTCGACAGAATCCGAAATAATACACAACGAATCCTAAAGAGTATGACAGAATCCAAAAAAATCCGAGATCCGAAAAATTCCGAAAGAATACGAAAAGAATTCGAAAATAATCTCAAAGAATACACAATAATAAGCGACAATCCGATCAAATTCCGAGAGAATCGGAGAGAATCTGGAAGAATACGAATAATCCAAGAGAATACGAAAGGAACCGGCTAAATTCGTATGGGATGGGATAGAATCCGGAAGAATACTTCCGAATTTCGGAGAAATACAAGAGAATCCGAGAGAATTTGAAAGAATCAGGGTGAATCCAAAAATAAATCCTAGGTATTCAACAGGATCCCAAAGAATATAAGAGAATTCGAAAGAATACAAGAGAACGACCAAATTCCGGAAGGATAAGAGAGAATCGGGAAGGATCCTAAAGAATACGAGAGAATTCGAGAGTATATGAAAGAATCCGGATGAATCTGAAAGAATACGACAAAATTGGAGAGAATCTGGAATTATCCAGGTGAATCAGCGAGAATCTGAAAATAACTGGAGAGAAATGGACACAGTTCTAAATAAAACGCAAAGAATTAAAAAAATATATGAAAGAATACAAGAAAGTATAAGAGAATGGGCCAAATTCCGAGATGATCGGGGAGAATCTGGAAGACTACGAAAGAATTTGAGAGGATACGTGAGAAACTGAAGGAATAGGAGATAATCCAACAGAATCCGAAAGAGTCTGAGATAATCCAAGATTATCCACAAGAGTCCGAACATAATGCGAAAGAATTCGATAGAATCCGAAGGAATGCACAAAGAATCCTAAATAATACGAAAGAAACCGAAAATAATCTCAAAGTATACACGATAATACGAAAGAATCCGATCAAATTCCGAGAGAATCGTAGAGAATCTGGAAGAATACGAAGAATCCGAGAGGATACGAGGGGAAGCGGCCAAATTCATATAGAAGAAAATTTGACAGAATACAGAAGAATACTAGTAAATCAGAGAAAATCCGAAAACAATTCGGAAGAATTCAACAGAATCGGAATTAGTATCTAAACAATTCAAAGTAATACGAAGAGAATCCGAAAAGAATCCCAAAGAATGTAAGAGAATCCGGAAGAATGCAAGAAAATATGAGAGAAACCGACCAAATTCCGATCGGAACGGACAGAATCCGGAAGAATCCTTAAAAATCAGAGAAAATCTGACAGAATCCTGAAGAATCCGAAAAGAATCCGAAATAATTCCAAAAAATATAAGAACATTCGAAGGAATACAAAAGAACTACTACTTTTTCCTAGAGGATAAGAGAGAATCAGGAAGAATTCTGAAGAATACGAGAAGATTGGACAGAACTTGGAAGTATCCAAGTGAGTCAGGGAGAATTTGAAAATAATTGGAGAGAAATGGTCACAGTTCCAAATAATACACAAAGAATTCGAAAAGATGCAAAAAAATCATAAAAAATCATAGCTCCGAGAGATTCCGGAAGAATACTAAAAGAATCTGAAAAGAATCCATAAGAATACAAGAAAACCAAAAGAATTCAAAAGAATATGAGAGAATATAAAAAGAATCCGGATGGTTCTGAAAGAATCCAAGAAAATCCGAGTGAAGTAGGGAGAATCTAAAACAATTGCATATAATTTGACAGAATCTTAAATAATACGCAAAGAATCCGAAAAAATATGAGAGAATACAAGAAAGTATGTCAGAATCTACCAAATTCCGAGAGGATCGTGGAGAATCTGGAAGAATATGAAAGGATTAGAGAGGATACGAGAGAAACTGAGGGAATAGGAGAGAATCCAATAGAATCCGATAGAATCTAAGCAAATCTGAGATTATCCGAAAGAATTCGACAGAATCTGACAAAATACACAAAAAATCCTAAAAAATACGTGAGAATCTGAAAAAATCCGAGATCTTGAAAATTCAGAAAGAATTCGAAAATAATGTCAAAGAATACACAATAATATCAGAGAATTCGATTAAATTCCAAGAGAATAGGAAAGAATTCGGAAGAATGCTAAGAATCTGAGACGATACGAAAGAAACAGGCAAAATTCGTATAGGATCAGAGAGAATCCGGAAGACTCTTTAAGAACCTGGGAGAAATACAACAAAATCCTAGAGGATTTAACAGAATCCGGAATAATACGCAAACAATCCAAAAGAATGCGAAGGGAATCCGAAACGAATTCCAAAGAATATAAGGAAATTTGAAAGAATAGAAGTGAATATGCAAGAATTCGACCAAATTCCGAAAGAATACAAGAGAATTCGGAAGGATCCTAAAGAATACGAAAGATTCCGGGAGAATACGAAAGAATCCGAGAACATCGGATAGAATCTGGAAGTATCCGAGTGAATCAGGAAGAATCTGAAAACAACTGGAGAGAATTCGACACAATTCTAAATAGTACACAAAGAATCTGAAAGAATATAAGAGAATTCCAAAAAATTCTAGATCCGAGAGAATTCGAAAAAATACGAAAAGAATTCGAAAATAATCTCAAAGAATACACGATAATACAAAAGAATCCGATCAAATTTCGGAAGAATCGGAGAGAATCCGGAAGAACGCGAAGAATCCGAGAGAATACAAGCGGCCAAATTCATATAGAAGAATCCAGATGAATGCGAAAGAAGCCGACAAAATTTGACAGAATGCAGAAGAATCCTAGTGAATTAGAGAATCCGAAAATAATTCGGAAGAATATCAGAGAATCCGGAAGAATGCAAGATAGTATGAGAGAATCCGACCGAATTCCGATAGAAACGGAAAGAATCCAAAAGAATCCTTATAAATCCGAGAAAATCTGACAGAATTCGGAAGAATCCGAAAGGAATTCTAAACAATATAAGAGAATTCGAAAGAATAAAAATGAACGGTCAAATTCCGGGAGGATAAGAGAGAATCAGGAAGAACCCTAAAGAATACGACAGAATTCTAGGGTATATGAAAGAATCCGAGAAGATTAGACAGAATCTGGAAGTATCCGAGTGAGTCAGGGAGAATCTGAAAATAATTGAAGAGAAATGGACAGTTGTAAATAATACACAAAGAATTCTAAAGGATACAAGAGAATCCTAAAAAAATCGTAGATCCGAGTAAAAGAATCCCAAAGAATACATGAAAACCTAAAGAATTCAAAAGAATATGAGAGAATATAAAAGGAATCCGGGTGTTTCTAAAAGAATCCAAGAATATCCGATAGAATCTATAATCCGTAAATAATTCGAAAAAATTCAAAAGAATACGGAGGGAATCCGAAACGAATTCCACAGAATATAAAAAAATCTGAAAGAATAGAAGAGAATATGTAAGAATTTGACCAAATTCCGAAAAAATAAAAGAGAATCCGGAAGAATCCTAAAGAATAGGAGATAATCTGGGAGTATATGAAAGAATCCGAGAAAATCGAATAGAATCTGGAAGTTTCCGAGTGAATCAGGGAGAATCTGAAAACAACTCTAGAGAATTGGACGCAATACTAAATAATACATCGAAAGAATATAAGATCATTTCAACAAATTCTAGATCCGAGAGAATTCGAAAAAATACGAAAAGAATCCGAAAATTATCCCAAAGAATACAAAAGAATATGAAAGATTATGAAATAATCCAAGAAATCCGAGAAAGTGTAACAGAATCTATAAGTATCCGAGTGGACCAGGGAGAATCTGTAAACAATTGCAGAGAATTTTATAGAATCTTAAATAATACGCAAAGAATACGAGAGAATCCAAAAAAATCGATATTCGAAAGAATCCGAAAGAAAACGGAGAAAACACGAAAATAATTTCACAGAATATGCGATAATATGGGAGAATTCGACCGAATTCTAAGAGAATCGGAGAGAGTCTGGAAGAATACAAAAGAATCCGAGAGAATACGAGAGTAACCGGCCAAATTCAAATAGGATCGGAGAAAATCCGGAAGAATCCTTAAGAATCAAGGAGGAATGCAAGAGAATATGAGAAAATATATCTGGAAGAATCGGAGTGAATCAGAGAGAATCCGAAAACAATTTTCAAAAATTCAACAGAATCCAAAATAATATGCAAAGAATCCGAAATAATACGAAGAGAATTCAAAAAGAATCCTAAAGAATGCATAAAAGAAAATCCGGAAGAATACAAGAGATTATAAGAGCATTCGACCAAATTCCGAGAGGATTATAGAGAATTGGGAGGATAAATCCTAAAGAATCCGTTAAAATCTGACAGAATCTGGAAGTATCCGAATAAAAATAGGAAAACAATTGGAGAGAATTTGACAGACTTAAATAATATGTAAAGAATCCGAACGAATACAACAGAATCCGAATAAATTCGTGATTCGAGAGAATCCGAAAGAATACGAAAAGAATCCGAAAATATTCCCAAAGAATAGAAGAGAATATGAGAAAATCTGAGAATATGAAAGATTCCTAGAGCTCCTAGTGAATCCAATGGAATGGGTGAAGCTACGAAAACAATGTTGAGATTATTTCTTGAAAAATCTAGTTAGTTGAGTAAGGAGTGTTTAGATAGGCAACCCATAATTTACTCAAGATATCTTGGTAACATGGAATAGAGAAAAGCGTTCGACGAAAAATATATTTTGGTTCTAGGTTAATTACCTGGGAGACTTTCTGCTATTGTAAGATATTTTTCAAGCCGTTTTAAATATTAGCGCAGCTTTTGCTTAATTTTAAATAACTTATTTAATAAAAATATCGTCAGACGGCTACGTAAAAGTAGATACTTTCACTTAGTTTAGAAGCATTAAAAACGAGGACAAAAACACAGTGGTCTTAAAAAAATTTTTTTGTCTATTTTGGACTAACTAAAACTACACTTTATGTTTTATATATATTATTATAAACTTAACACTACGACGTTATTAAAAACAAAACACAACAAAACAAAATAATATAACAAAATAAATAATTCGAACAATCCTGTTTCGGTAACAAGAACAACTCAATCACAGCTAACTAACTCACAACTAAAAACTACTCCTTCTTGTGGTGTATATCCGCCATCTCGATCTCCTCCGGCTTCATATCCACATCCCCCCACCCCCACACGCTATCTTCATGGTGGTGGTCATGCTCATGTTTAATCAAAATATTCTCGTACGTCCTGCTCCCATCCCCTGTACGTTTTGCCCTATTGGCCACCATCTCCACGTTCACAGTCTTTAGATCATAGGCCCATCCAATCTTCGCCATGAAGTCCAACACTGCGGTACTCCCATTCATGGAGTAGTTCCCCAGTTCGGCCGCTTTGTAATCCCACGGGAACACATGGTGGTAGTTGTGCCAGCCTTCCCCGAATCCCACGAACGCCACAGCCCTATTGTCACACGCGTTGATGTTCCTGGAAGCAGGTATGAGTCGAGGTACTTCAACCTGAGGCGGTACTTACTTGTCGAAGGGTTTGGAGCCCCACATGTGGGCGGCGCTGTTCACACACCAGGTTCCGTGAAGGACCACGAGGTACCGGAAGATGTTGACGTGCCAGCTGACGTTGAAGTTTTCGTTCCAGAACCAGCACGGGATGAGAGAGGGGAGGATGAAGCAGAAGAGGGGTGCGAGAATGAGGTAGTACCTGGAAGGATATTACCATGTTTTCTAATTTCCGTAGAATTAAAATCAATGTGACCTTTGATGAAATGTTTGTGTGAAAATGAAGTGAAAGTTTGAGTGATGGCTTTTTTAGTTTTGTCGTCTCGAGCGTGTGAACAAAGTCTGATCGGAGTTTTCTCCGCGTCTCACAGTTGGAAGGATACAAAAATGTTGATTTTCAGTTGTGATTAATTGTTTTGTGTGTTAAACCTGTCAGGAGGATGAGAAGATTTAATAAGAGAAAGTTGTTCTACGAAAAAACATGTAATGATGTCACAACAAACTGGTGATCAACAAGTAAAAATAGAACAAACCGTATGAGAAGATAGAAAATGAATATCGATTTGTTCCGGTTTGTGAGTTACAATAAAAATTTGAGTGAAACTCGCTGAACCTTAATTTTGGGAATAATAAATTAGATTGAAGATAGTGTTAGGAAGAGGTTCTCTGAAAGTGTAGTCCAAATTCAGACAGGTTCAAAAACACTCAATGAATGGTTTAGCTAACAAATTAAGTTAATTTTGACACTAGTATTTGATTTGTAGCGGCATTAACTTTCGAGTTATGCTAAGAGAAAATAACTTTTTTCGCATTCCTGGATAATGCACACTTTCCAACACTCTTCCGTAATGTCCCAGTTATGTTTAAAGCGACAAATATTATTATTATTATTAAAAATGTACTCACTTTCTCTGGAACATAACAACGGGATCAGCAGCAACGTCATCCATGGGAACCCCTTTCCCTTTCGTGTAGACATCCCTGTGTTTCTTGACCAACAGCCAGCCCATGTGGGAAAAGAAGAACCCTCTGTTGGAATTGTGGGGGTCAGCGTCAGTGTCGGTAAACTTATGGTGGACTCGATGGTCCCTGACCCATTCATAGACGTCGTTCTGCAAAGCCACGGTCTGGCATATCATCAGAAGAACCCGTAGCGGAAATTTAGCCTTGTATGACCTATGGGCCCACAATCTATGTGCTCCCATTGTCACCCCCAACGAAGAAATTGCAACCGTGATGTACGCTGCAATCAAAAATTCTATGGTTCGAAAGTCAAAAATTTTGCTCTTTGCTTACAGTAAAGTAAAGTTAATGCTTTTGCCGCCGTGAAGAAGTAGTAGATACCATAGAAGGCGGCGACGTGTAGGTACACAAAGATGAGGACGTTCCTCCAGACCACCTGCCATCTATACTTCGGAGTGGCAGATCGGTCGATTTTCGGCTGGTAACGTTGTACATCTTGTTGGACACCCGGCTTGCTGATAATCTGCACAGGTTCCGCGGAACTGTAGTAGTTGGATTTGCCTAAAGGGTTAGGCGCCATTTTCTACAACCAAGGAACATCATTTCAGACAAGAAAAAATAGGGTCATAAGAATGCGAATTTGGTGATTTGATTGGTTAAGTCTACAGAAGGCATATATGAAAGTGCAATAATTAGTGTTAACGTTGGCGAAGTACTAGTAAAAGTTGCACTTTCACCGCGACCTCGACCAGACTCATCGATGTAAAGTACCGATGAAGCGGTACGCGAGAAGAGTGGTCTGACTACCATATGGGTTCGAACTTGTTTTACTGTTTGTGATCTAAATAAGAAACTGTAATTTTAGTGGTCGTAATTTTCTTTGCTCTCGAGGAGTTCCAAATAATGGTACTTTTACTAACAAGAGCAAAAATAGTGCCGCCTTTTCTTAATTCGTCGCATACTTCAAAACCCTTTAATATCCAACACAGATTGATCATATGTTTTTATTGACACAGTTTCCGACTAGAAAAATGTGTGTCGATTTTACTTCCTACGACGGGTGCAGGCACGCTGCGATTAGTTCTGTTGGACAACGCCGGAGGATGTCTTAAGGAGGTCATAACACCGTAGCTTAGGAAAGCCATTGTCATTATCAATGATAAGAGCCATCACGGATCCTTTTTGTTGCTGCTTAATGAATTAATAAGTGAGTCAAAATTGGACCTGATTTTTTTGACCAAACCAGTTTGCGAGCGCCATGCGAGAAAGAGAAATTTTGGAATAGTAGGCCATATTTCGGACAAGTGTAATTATGAGACGACAGAATGTTGAAAAAATGTCTGTGGGTAATTACATTCTCTAAATCCGTGGTTTGTGGTCGTTAGATTTAAAGTGGGTTTGACCGTGTTTTTTGGTTTAAATTCAGGTGTCAGGTTTAAGTAACAAGTTTTCTTGAATAAAAACTAGAGTTCCTGTATATTAAGCTAATTCAATTCCTAATTACTGAATCAAATTAATTCTGTTCTATGAAAAACTATGGAAAATCGAATTATAGGCTGATTTTTGACGTTTCTTAGTCGTGACGTCATTAACTATTGACCTGTGACGACACACGCATTTTTTAAATGGGAAGTAGGTATACACTTGTTTTTTGGTAGTGTATATTTCGGTTTCTACGCTGAACCAATTCAATATAATTTCTAAAAATTTTTTTTTAGCGCAACAAATGTTTAGGTGGACATTAATTTATCTGACAGCAAAAATTGCACTAAATTTGATACTTACATATTTACAAACAAATTCTGATGACGTCATTCGTATCATTATCGTAACAAACAATAAAGCAACATAATGAGAGGAAAATTAAACTTGTAATATATTCGAAAGACTTTTTATAAGTTTGGAACAAAATTTTGATATGTACAACACCATAATGACTTTAATTATATTTGAACTATACAATTTGTCACTCGTAGGTATCCCCTCCAGCAACTTGATGACGTAATCTCATAACATTATTATCGCGGGAACGTTTGATTCATGGTATAATATATGTACGAAAAACTTAATATATGTATATATTTTGTTTTATTATATATAGTGTGAATCACTACTTGAAATACATATACAGAGTGGGTCATTAGCCACTTCCTAGTCTTTATAAATACAGTTTAGGTTTGAAATTCTGTTGCGTCGTTGCCACGTTTTCTGGCAGTAGAGTTATTTTTAAAATCTGTGTTACAATATTTTGTGGAAGGATAAATAAAGGTATGTACTGTGTTTATAAAAAAAGTCTAAAACTTGACAATTTGCAAATTTCTTTTTTTTTTTTTTAATTTTCGATCAATTTTAAATATATTTATACTAATAGTATACTAAATAATTCAATAAAACTGAAAAGTGAAAAGTCAAAGTTGTGTGTTAGGACCTGAAAACAAACTTTGGTCTTTGATTTTTTTTTCTATTTTTTTAGTGACTCACTCTGTATATGTATATGTATCTCAAAAAATTGTAGTTATTTGCAATAATAATAATGTTAAACCATCAAATACGAATTAAATCTGTAAATTGATAATGTATACTGGTTTAGTAAAAATTATTACATCACTCTTTTTGATTTTTTTTTATTTCAAGATTGGTATAATTAAGCCTAGTTTCAACTATAACGAATTGACGGAATTTTAATTTGTGTATTTAAATGTGTGAAACACCCTGTATATGTATAATACTAGTTACTCTAGAGAGCTTATGATTAAATAGCTCGTGAAAACAATATAAATATCAGTTTAAAAAAAATTTGGAAGCACTTGTCATCTGTTCACGTTTATTCTAGCAATAGGATCACATCTGCTAAAGATTTCTATCTACCTTCACAGAACAGTTATTTTCTTAAGAAAAATATATACAGCATGGTTTAATGAGCGTCTAAATCTACAGAGAACAAAGTTAATGTCTTTCGGTTTAGATTTTCCAAATTTCGAAAAAATTATTAATTGTGATTATTTTGGAACATTATAAAAACATAAAACTAAAAATATTAGGGAAAAGTACCTACGTTTAAGAGTCAAATTCACTGCTTGTGGAACCCAACCAGGAACTTCTCAAGCGTCTTTAATGGCACAACACACACAGCGCGAATGCGGCTGAGTACTTTCTTCCGAAAGCTATATAACATTGAACTTGGACCGGCATCGGTACTTGCTATTTGTTACCAATCCATCTCCTTCCCTCCAGTCATCGTCTTCTTCCTCACCACCAGTGAATGTCGTTTCTTCATCTCCTTCCTCCAGCATCTCGTTCTAAAACTAGGCAATCTTTGTCACTGCGCGAGAAGAGGTGGTACCTGATTTCCGATCATGAATTTCTCCCGCGTTTGAACTCTAATGTGTGTCAAGAACGCTTAGCACTTTCGCAAAAGTTCACATAACTTTGCTAAGATTTGCTTATCTAGTGCCGTTGTTGGCTTAGTGTATTAGCAGTTCAACGACAAGTCATAATGTATCAAAGGCAGCCACGACGTGACGAGCGGCAGGTACTGCTCGGGCGCGAGCGGGTCACCACGATTTAGATAGTAATTTTTTTTGTGGCTAGAATCTAGCCTATAATTATGTGTGACGGATGCGAGAGAAAAGTAGATTTTCGGCTAAAAAAAAGATTTAAGGTTGGAGGAAGCGGAAAAGAGTGTCAATTAGGACATTTGGAACCAAGTTTTTGGGTTACGTGACTGGGGGCTTTGGGTCTACGCATTCATTTTTACTGGTTTAGATGAAGTTAATGCGTAGATGCATTTGAAATGAATTCGAAATATGAGCACACTTTTGCCTTTCTTTTAATGTTGTTGGTAGTTTGAAGACACATGTGTGATGGTACTACTACAAATAGCGAAAAAGAGAAATGTAGAGCAAAAAACACTAATATAGGAAAACAATAAAAAAAATCACGACGATTATAAATTAGAAACCGAAAGTTCGAGGTGCTAAAATTGTGTTTCAATTGCAGTCTACATACATGCATCCTGGGAGAAATATTTTTATGCTTCAGTGTTTGCTTAACGGTAAAATTTTTACTGCTACCGCAACGACATCCTTATTTCAGATGAAATGTTGTTGAGCAAAAAATGCCTCAATTTTTTTTTTTTTTGCAGAAGTAGGCTTTTAGTGTTTTACTTCCTTTTAAGAATCGCAAGATTTAGTAGGAAAAAATTATTACAATTTCCAATATGAGTGATGGAATAAGCTTTCAGTGATTTGTGAGCCTATTGTTTAGGAGTAGGTCAAATGACACTTTGTTCTAGACAAAATGAAAAAACAAAATTTTTCATGTGGTCTTTAATTGTTTCTTTATCTTCTAGTAAGTGTTTTAGTATGTTCACTAGAGAGAGGGAACAGATAAATGCATTGTAATCACATCTGGTTAATTATCATTTGTTTAGATCTAGGGGAAGCGAAGCATCCCCTAGCCTCTCCCTAGCTACGGTCTTGTCTAGGGGTTATGAAATATCGAGAAAATATGAAAGTACCAAATTACCCGATGGACTCCATTAGTGACGTCCCTAGCATATCCTCGATTAAAAAAAAACAATTCGAATGTATTTATGTTTATACATCGGAAGAATGTCACGTAGAAATTAGTTGGATTTGAATGAGTTCATCCCCTCAAAATAGAGGATCAAAACTATTAAGTAGTAATATACAATCGACTAAATGTTCTGAATGTCATTATTACAACTCTTATTAATTAAATAAAGACGCTTGTATTTTCATATTTTCGGGAATGAAAAAAATAATCACGTGATTTCAAAATTCTGCCGAATAATTTGAACCTAAAAGTGCTAAGTGTGATGAATTTGAACTTGAGATTTATCATTGCATTCATATTTTTTGATTCGCTTAATCAGGTGGTTAAAAAAATTAATAAATGAGTCAGTTTATTTCATTTTTCCAGAAATTTTGCTATTTTTCATTTTCCATTTTACACTAAAAAAATAAGTCAGTGAAATGGAGAAAGGAGGTGGGCGGGGCTAAATTCAGCTTTTTTCTAGTTTTATGAACAAGTAGTAGGCCCGCCCACCCACCCCTTGTTCGTTCCAGTGACTATTCTTAATATTGTTCAGTCCTAGTTTAGCAAGTTTTAACCCCGCCCACCCACCCTTTTTTTCTTAGAAGATATGTCATTTACCAAAATCAATCTTATCTTAGCAGATATTGAGATCCACCTTTCATTCGGACTAGACAAATTCCGGGAGGATCTGGGAGAATCCGGAAGAATACAAAAGAATCAGAGAGAAAACGAAAGAAACTGATCAAATACAGTCAAGGTGGAAACGACTACAAAAAAAAACAGAAATAATACGAGGGAACACGAGAGAATGCAACATAATCCAAAATGATTTGAAAAAATCTGAAAGAATTCGAAAATAATTCAAAAAAAATTAGACAAAATTCGACACAATACACAAAGAATACTATAGAATACGAGAGAATAAGAAAAAACCCGAAATCAGATAAAGATTCCCATCAAATTCCGAGAGAATCGGAGAGAATCCGGAAGAATACGAAGAATCCAAGAGGATACGAAAGGAACCGGCCCAATTCGTATAGGATCGGAGAGAATCCGGAATAATTTTATGAATTTAGGAGGCATATAAAAGAATCCGAAAGGATTTGAAAGAATCGGGATGAATGCGGAGGAATCCAAGGAAATCTGGCAAGAATCAAAGATAATCTGAAAATAATTCGGAAGAATTCAACAGAATCCGAAAAAATGCGCAAACAATCCGAAAGAATACGAAGCGAATCCTAAAAAATCCCAAAGAATATAGGAGAATCCGGAAGAATACAATAGAATATGAGAGAATCCGACTAAATTCCGAGAGGATAAGAGAGAATTCGAAGGAATCCTAAAGAATCCGAGAGAATACGTGAAAATCCGAGGGAATATAAAAGAATCCGGATTAATCTGAAAGAATCCGATAAAATCCGACAGATTCTGAAAGTATCCGAGCAAGAATACGACAACAATTGGAGAGAATTTGACACTTAAATAATATGCAAAGAATCCGACCAAAGTCCGAATAAATTCGTGAACCGAGAGAATTCGAAAGAATTAAAGAAAATATAAAAGAATCGACCAAATTTCGAAAAGATCGGGGAGAATCCGAAAGAAACGGAAAGAGTGTGCAGCAGAATCTGAAAGAGTCCGGAATAATCTTACGAATTTAGGAGGCATATAAAAGAATCCGAGAGAATTTGAAAGAATCGGGATGAATGCGGAGAAATCTAAGGAAATCTGACAAGAATCAAAGAGAATCTGAAAATAATTCGGAAGAATTCAACAGAATCCGAAAAAATACGCAAACAATCCGAAAGAATACGAAGAGAATCCTAAAGAATCCCAAAGAATATAGGAGAATCCGAAAGAATATGAGAGAATACGACTAAATTCCGAGACGATAAGAGAGAATTCGAAGGCATTCTAAAGAATCCGTATGAATCTGAAAGAATCCGATAAAATCCGATAGATTTTGAAAGTATCCGAGCAAGAATACGACAACAATTGGAGAGAATTTGACACTTAAATAATATGCAATGAATCGGGGAGAATCCGAAAGAAACGGAAAGAGTATGCAGCAGAATCCGAAAGAGTCTGAGTGAATCACAGAATTCGACATAATAATACAATATAATATTCAAAGAGTCCAAAAGAATATGAGAGAATCCAAAAAAATCCAAGTCCCGAGAGTTTCCAAAAGAATGCGAAGAGAATCTAAAAAGAATCTCAAAGAATACACGATAATATGAGACAATTCGACCAAATTCTGAAAGGATCGGAAAGAATCCGGAAGAATCCTTAACAATGAGCGAATATACAAAAGAATCCGCGAGAATTTGGAGGAATCTGGATGAATGCGAAAGAATGCAAGGAAATCTGACAAGAATCGGAGAGAATTGGAAAATAATTCGGAAGAATTCAACAGAATCCGAAAAAATACGAAAGAACCTAATAAAATTGAGTCAGGATCGGAGAGAATCCGAAAGAAACGAAATGAATACGAGGGCATACGCAAAAATCGGAGAGAATCTGAAAGAATACTACAAAATCAAGGAAGAGTACAAGAGAATTTGAGGGAATTTGAACTATCCCAGATGAATGGGAAAGAATCCGAGAAAATCTGACAAAATCTGGAAGAATCGGAGTAACTCAGAAAGAATCCGAAAATAATTTGAAAGAATTCGGCAGAATCCACAATAATATGTAAAGAATCCGAAAGAATACCAGAGAATCCGAGGAAATCCAATATCCGAGAGAATCCTAAAGAATACAAAAGAATCCAAGAATCCGAAAGGAAAGTGAAGATAAGCGAAGAAAAATGTTGCTGCCTAGGTGGGAATCGAACCTCGCGGCATCCGCTTGCCGGGCAGGTGTCCTGACCACTAGACTACGAGGCCGCTTATCTTTCCCCGCTTACCAACGTGTTATTGTGCCGCCACAGAAACGAAAGACACTGACCAAATTAAGTCAAGTTCGAAAGGAAATTTAACAATTGAAAGAAAAATGAAAAACCGGGATACTGAAAATTCCAAAATTTAAAAAATCGGAAAATTCAAAAATCGAGGAGCCGAACAGTCGTGAAATTTACAGAAATGAGAAATCGAAACATCGAAAAGTTGTAAAACTGAAACATCGAGAAACAAAACATTAAAAGATCAAGAAATCCAAAAGTCGAGAAGTCAAAAAAGCGAAAAATTGGGAAATCGAAATATGGAAAAATCTAAAATTCAAAAAATTGCAAAATCGAGAAATTTAACAGTCGAAACATCGAAATCTTGAGAAATCGAAAAATTGACAAAACGAAAATTTTAAAAATAAAAAATCGAAAAACCAATTAATCGGAAAATCCAAAATTTAAAAAATCCAAAGATTGAAAAATTCCGAAATTGAAATGCTGAAAAATTGAGAAATGGAGAACTCGAAACAATGAGACATCTAAAAATCGAAAAGTCGAAAAATTATAAAAATTGAGAAATCAAGAAGTCAAGAAATCGCATCAAAAAATGGTCAAATCGAAAACCGAGATTAAAAAAAACGAAAAATTGAAAAATCAATACAATGAAAAATAAACAATTTGAAAAACTGAAAAAATTGAAAAATTGGTAAATCGAAAAGCCGAAAAATTG